TCTGTATCTGGTAAAGATGCTATGAACATTAAAAAAAATAACTACAAAGGACTTAGACTTAGTTCCATAAACTTAGTTGATAAAGCAGTGTCAGGGTTTGAGAGAACTGACTCCAACTATGAAAGAAGTACTGCTATGGGTAAATGCTATCAAATAGCATTACATGCTACACAGAAATCTTTCTAGAAAGGAAGAGTCAGTCAATGTGGCAAACTTCTGTTGTCTTGTTTTAAGATATTGCCAGAGCTACCCCACCCTTCAGCAACCATCACCCTGATCAATCAGTAGCCATTAACAAGGAGGGAAAACCCTCCACCAGCAAAAAGATTATGACTTCCTAAAGACTTAGGTGACAATCAACATTTTTAAAGTAATAAAGTATTTTAAAATTCGGGTATGTACATTTTTAGACAAAATGCCATTGCAGACTTATAGACTACAGTATAGTATAAACACAATTCTTATATGAACCAGGAAATGAAAAAATTTGTGTGACTCGCTTTATTGCAATATTCACTTCAATATGGCAGCATGGAAACAGACCTGCAATATCTCTGAAGTATGCCTGCAGAAACATACAAATATATTGAAAGGAAACAGACAGAAAAATACATATTATTAAACAGTAATCACAACAAGGCTGGAATTTCTAAATCAATCATATAAACAGACTTTATAATGTGAAGCATTTTCAGTAAGAAAAAGAGAGATTTCATAAAGATAAAAAATAGAAAATCCATGTTCATGGATTATGAGATTTAGTATTGCTGAAATATTTCCCAAACTGATGTAAGCATTCAACCTAACCCCCTTCAAAATCCCACCAGGCTTTTCTTTTTCCTTTTTCTTTCTTTGGTAGTAACTAAAAGTTGATTCTAAAATTTATATAGAAATGCAAAGAACACAGCATATCTATATTAAGCTTAAAAAATAAGAGTTTGAAGACTTACATTATAATCAAAGAAACACTAAAGAAACTCCAGAAATAAATCCATATAGATATATTGTTCAAGCAATCCAATGGGAGAAAAGAGAGTCTTTCAACAAATAGTTCTGTAATAACTAGATATCAGTAAGTAAAAATTGAAGTTGGCTTCAACTCATACAATAAATGGAATTTAATTTGACCAGATAAATAGAGCTAAATACAAAAACTAAAGTGATAAAACTTCTAGTGGAAAACACAAGACAATATAATGATGATGACTTAGGAGTAGCCAAAGGTTCCTTAGGACACAGAAAGGCAATAAACATAAAAGAAAAAATTTGGATAAATTAGATTTCATCAGAAATTTAAAATTTCTCATTAAAAGATACTGCTAAGACAATGAACAGGTAAGCCACAAACTGAGAGAAATATATGTGAAAAATATGTGTTTGAGAAAGGACTGTTATCACAAGGTATGTAAAGGACAATGAACTGATAAAAAAAAGTCAGCACCTCTGCCTGCAAAAAAAAATTGGGTAAAGGATTTGAAGAGACACTTTTCAGAGTAAGATACATAAATGGCCAATCAGTACATTACAAAGTGCTCAACATTATCAGTCATCAGGGAAATACACACTCAAACTGTTATCAGAAAATATCCACCAGAATGGCTAAAAGTAAAAATGACAATGCCAAATGCTGATGAGGCTGTGGAGCAACTGGAACTCTAATACACTGTTGGTGGAAGTATAAAATGCTATAACTTCTTTGGTTTAAAAAAAAAAAAGTCTTACCATTTCTCTAAATACCAAACACATGCCTAACTCTATGATCCAACAATTTTATTCACTGCCATCTATGTAAGAAAAATGAAAGCATTTATCCTTACAGACTTGTTCAATAATATTCACAGCAGGTTTATTCATAATACCTCAGAAACTGGTGACAGTCCAGATATTCACCAAAACGAGAATGTATAAACTGGTATGTTCATGCAAGTCTGTTCTTTCTTTTATGTGAAAGTGCTTTAAATATTTGAAGACTTATATTTCACAGCCTCTTCTATTTAATGGTCAAACACCACAAGTTCATCCCAGCAGTTATTACGAGAAATGTTTTTCAGTTCCTTCCATACACCTGCCCCCTCTCCCATTACTCTCCTTTAGACATGCTTCACTGTGTCAATGTCCAATCTATAGGATAATGCATTAACACTAAAAAAATTCCTAATCAGTCACATCACAATATTGGCTCCTAAGAAATTCACAGGCAAATAGAAATCTCAAAATCACTCTAATGTAAGGTATTACTAATCTACATTTTTCTCATCAATCATACCAATTGCACTACTGGCCCACAATTCTTCATAATGTATTTAAAAAAATAGCTGAGCACAGTGGTGTGCCTATAGTCCCAGCTACATGGGAGACTGAGGCAGAGAGATGGCTTGAGGCCGATCAAGGCTGCAGTGCACTAGGATCATGTTCAGCCACTGCACTTCAGCCTGGGCAACATAGAAAATCTAGAAAGTTAACTTCAATTAATGTTAAACTTGCTAATCTAGTAAGAACCCAAGCTTAACCAGTCCAGTTCCTTACATGATTAGTGCGTAAGAATGATACCCCTTAAAATATAATGTACTGTGTATTAACCCTGCATCTTGAGTTTCCAATTCTAATCCACTGTACATGGCACTACCATTTGGATCTTAAAACACCCTTTTGAACCCATCACCCTACAGCCAAAAACTATCAACGATTCCTTTCTAACTCTAGAAGTCTACGACTCTATATAATATGAGCCTACTTTTCTAATCCAACTGTCTATGATTCCTCTTTAATAGACCTTAATCCTTGAATATTTTAAACAGTGTTTTATCCCCTTGTACAATGGTACTTCTGCTGCCTTTGAGTCCTAGAGTGTTATCATAATCATAGTCCTATTTTTCCTTTAACACTCAGCTTTCTCTCTAAAGTCCTTGAATGTAACTAGAGGGAGTTTTTGTTTTGTTTTTTTTTTTAAATTCTGTATTTTCTGTCTGAGTCACTCATTTGGAAACTAGTGTATGTCATCGTAAATTGTTTGTTCATTATTTGCTTATTTGTTTTACAAAATGTTCTGTCTCCCTGAACAGAGATCACATCAGTCTCCAGAGCCCCGCTTTGGACTCAGTTTGGTATAGTACTTGATGTACAGGCCCTTGATGTTGGTTGCTGATTTTGTCAGGTGATAAAGGGCAGGAAGGAAGACTTCCAGTCTCTGAATATTCATCTTGACTACCAGTTACAGGAGAGGGGTGTCTGCTAGCCAGAATAAAGCTTGAGGCTTATATTAACATATTTGTCAGGAGGCTTTCTGACACTCATGCTCCCACCTCCCAGAGAGCCCAGGAAATCCAGCACATATGGGATATTCCTCTCAACTGCTGGGTAGCTGGGAACAGAGGCTGTGGTTGCTGAGCAGTTGCCCAGGGCAGCTTGGCCACCCTGGAGAACCAAGAAAAGAGGGGAAATAAAGGGTTTTCCTAGGCATGCAAGTAATCACTTGAATGTTAAAAGAAAACTAGGCTTGTTATGTTCACAGTAGATTTCCTCAATTAGAAATGTTACAACAAATTTGTCTGAAGTTAATGGAAAGCATACTTATATACATATTCATAAAGTGAACATGCATCAAAGACACTTTAAAGGGTGTTCTTTGACATCATAATTTGGGTTTGTAACATAAAGAAAACAAATAGTGATTAATCAACTAAGTAAGCTTTAGGGACTTTGTATGTTGACTAATAATGATGTGTGACCTTTTCTAAGAAAAAATGGATTTTTAATGGGCATAAACATTTTAATCCCTATTAGGTTTCCAAGCCAACTTGATTTTCCAAGGGGCATATAAAAATGTTAAATTGTCCTTTTGTAATATATGCTATATAGGCATATATCTTAACATATTTTCTAAGTATCCTAGAGCAGAGAAACTTAATCCTAGGACCCACAGGGTTCATAGATCCCTTGGATCCACAGAATGGCTTCAGAATGTCTCTGAACAACCTGAAACTGTAGGCAAAATTTGTGAATGTGTTTATAGAAAAAGGGTTTATGGTTTTCAACAGATTCTCAAAGGGGTCTGTGACCTAAAAAATATTACAACTACTTCTTAGAGATGATTTGAACCACCATCCTTGCCTATAGTTATTAACAAGGAATAGAACTGTGTAATTAAGGTATAGATATAAAACAGAGTTTAGCCATTTTCAGGTTATACATTTCAGCCAACTTAATCCAAAACTTACTTCGCAATTCTACATGTAGATGCTAACTTAATCTTCTTCTTGTCTTATCTATGGATATTAGATTGAATTGTGTGAAACTGCTGTTTTTGTTAGTGAAAAGAGTCAAATATTGGCAAATATATTCAACATATTGTAATACATTTCTGGTTTTTAGGTAGATGCTGTTTACAGAGGATATTCTGTATGCTAAAAGTGGTGCACAGTTCTTATACAAAGCCTTAAAATTGGCAAGAAAGCTTTACAGTTCCTGTAGCAAAACCAGATTAGAAAAGAATATAATTTTCACATAGTAAGGGCAATCTAAAAACTGAAGATGAATGAAGACAATGTTCTTTAAATCATGTTTACAGATGAATCAATAATTGAAATGAAAAGATATCAATAAATTTCAGGAATAATTATGTGAATTATTATATTATGTGAATAATAACACTCTTACCTTTTTGAGGTACAAAGAAATAAATGACTTTTCCAACACTACCTAAACCAGTTTTTCATCTCCCATGGAAATAGGAAATGCCCTGTAACTACCCCTTTCATTGATGGGCTAGGAAATGTAAGCAAAGGAAGAAAAAGTGAAAAAATCATTGTCTTAAGTGGACTGTCAGGGCCTGGCACATAGTAGGTTCTCAATTAAATACTTATTTGAATATTTAATGTATTAAGATTCTTTGAAGGCTATTCATTTCTGCATAATCTTTTTTAAATAACTGCTAATGTAAATACCAGATTTGTGACAAAATTCACACGTGTCAAAGACAGATTTTTTTTTTTTGTACTTACCTCAGCAGAGTTGTGATACTGAATGAAGGTTGCAGAAATGGCATGGCTGAAGGGGTCCCCTGCCTTAGTTACCATGTCTTGCCTCACAAGAAGAGCCAGATCCACTAACTAGAAGACCAGAACAATGAAATGAAGTCACATAGCTAGAAATAATCATGAAAGCCACTGAAGTGGCAAACCTAAAAACAATATATTCTAAATGTTACTGATAATCCTGTGCCTAAAAATCTATATTGTAGACAGGAGCACACACTTTCATTGACTAGTGAATGGACCTAGTCATGAATACACATGATATATTCTGACCTTATAGGAGAGTAGTTCTCAAAATTTATTTCATAATCACTAGGGTAGATTTCTGTGCTGTAAGTCCAGAGATTTTAATTCAGTAGGTCTGTTTTAAGTGTATAGTCTAGGAATTTACACTTTATTTTATTTTTTTGAGACAGAGTTTTGCTCTTGTTGCCCAGACTGGAGTGCAATAGCACAATCTCGGGTCACTGCAACCTGTGCCTCCCAGGTTCAAGCGATTCTCCTGCCTCAGTCTTCCAGAGTAGCTTGGACTACAGGTGCCCACCAACACACCTGACTAATTTTTTTTTTTTCCCTGTATTTTTAGTAGAGATGTGTTTTCACCATGTTGACCAGGCTGGTCTTGAACTCCTGACCTAAGGTGATCCACCTGCCTTGGCCTCCCAAAATACTGGTATTAAAGGCATGAGCCACCACGCCAGGCCAAAGTTTGCATTTTAAACAAGAACCAAGGAGATGCTGATGCTTGTGATCTAAAGACCACATCTTGAGAAAGTCTTTTAGAGGGCAGTGGTTTCAGACCCAGAATTTGGTAAGCAATCATAAGATCTCACATATGTAGAAAGGTGTTTTTCAAAGCTCAAAAATAATCTCTAAATAAGGCAGATATGTACTTAATGAGTTCAATGTCAAGAAAAAGTATGCAGGGATTCCATTTCTCATTAGGATAAAAGAAACTGTCTTTTTTATCCAAACACCCACTTGAATTGAGGATGTAGAGACACATAACTGAACTAAATTTTAGAAAACGATGTAAATGTCACAGGAGAGAATTCATGGCTGTTATTCCTATTAGAGCAGCAGGCAGAAGAATCGATCATGGACAAAGATAAGGAAAAACACCCAGCCTGTGTGGCCCAATATGACAGATCAGAATTCTTACCTGTGCCACAGTTTCATACGCTAAATATGCTAAAATTTCCATAGCGACAACGTTGGGTTTTATCTCCATACTGCTGCAGTCCAACCAGTCTCGGAATTTGGAAGCTTTTTTGGCTAGCCATTAAAAAAAAAACAAGCGTAGAAATTTAATTTTTAAAGTGTTTTAATACTGCACATTACTATCACAAAATGAGAAAAATATATACTCAGAACTGTACACAAAAAATAATGCACATAAAGTGCAATGTGTTTGAACTTTTATTAATGTCTAGATATTCTGGCCCCAAGAAATCCAAGTTCTAACTCTCAGCTATAAAGCAACACAACAGTTGTTTTAAACAACTTTCTTACGCATTTGGATCTTTTAGTTTATAACTATGCTATATGACACAGTATATAAAACCATTTAATGTTTACTACTTTTCACATTGTGTCAGGTTTACCATTGGCTATAGCTTATGTTACAACAAGTGTCAGAAATGTACTTGTCTGATGTAACCTTAATTTACATTAAGCGGTGGTAGCAGAGATGGTGGGAGTGAGAACCGCCTTTTGGGCTGTGGGCTGCATGGAAGCTGGGTGAGGCCTGTGGCTGCTTGCTTTCCTCCACTTCCCTGGCTCCCTGCATGAGGCAACAGAGGCAGCCATAATCCCCTTAGGAACATAACTCCATTGGTCTAGGAGACACACCCTCATCCCCCACAGCAGCCACAGCAAGCCTCGCCCAAGAAAAGTCTGAGCTCAGAAATGCCTAACCCTGCCTTCACCTGATGGAAACCTAAATTTTGTATGCTCTGACTTGTAAGTGGGAGCTAGTCTATGAAGATGCAAAGGCATAAGAATGATATAATTGAATCTGGGGACTCAGAGAAAAGGGTGGGAAGTGGGTGAGGGATAAAAGACTGCACATTGGGTACAGTGTACACACTGCTTGGGTGATGGGTGCACCAAAATCACAGAAATCACTACTAAAGAACTTATTCATGTAACTAAGCACCATCAGTTCCCCCAAAAACCTACTGACATAAATAAGTTAAAAAAAGTATCTATTACTAGAATAGCTCAAGGTTGTAAATTTAAAATTAAATAAAATAAACTGACATCTGGTCTAATCTAAGCCTGTGGTTACATTTTTTTCTGATTATAAAGATGCCTAAATTCTTAAGCCTGACTCTCAAAACCATCCAGCCTGATTCCAAACAGCCTTTACGATATTTCCCTATTAAGCCATCACCTGGCCTTGAGTCTTATCCTCTGTGTGTCTACCCCTACTCCCTTCCTTCCATGGAATGTACTCCCTTCACTCTTCTTCATTCATATGAATCTTGATCATACAGGCCAAAGGTATACTTCCCCACTCTAGCCATTTACTGAACACTGATCTCATCAGATGTTCTTTCACAAATGTTTATAATTAATCCATATTACAAGATTTTTTTTTGTGGGAGAAGACCATGCCTTATGTCTCTGTATATGTAACAGTACCAAGCATATACAGAACTAAGCACATATGTAGCCTTTAGGTAAATATCTCTGCACTGCCACAGTGCTAAGCAGAGTCTAATTTGATATAGGGACTTCATTAGACCTTATTAATTTAACTAGTAACCTAGAGGGGAAGATTGATAGTGAAGATTTTATCAAATTTGTAAGATCTTTTTTTATAATCCACTGATTATTCTTTTGATTAATGTGGCCCCACAGGTCTATAAAACACTTAACAGTAACTCAAAGCACGATGTTTTGATCGTTCTATATAGAATCTTCAAGGATTCCATATACAGAAGAGTTTTCCTTCAAATAAATCACAGAAAACATTAAATACTGCTATCAAAGCACATACCCAAAGCTGTCAAATATGGCAGAATTATGATAATCCTCCTTAAAGCTATCTCCCCAAAGTAACAAATCTCCCAAATACTTTCTGACATGCAACATTCCATCTAACTAGTATTCTGCAATAGCTCACAAACACTTGTTTAACATCTGTGGAATACTTTGAAGTTAAAGTCAGCAATTTGGCAAGATCAATAAGATGTACATTATTCACCTCTCTCCTTGACAGATCTTTAGGACAGAGGTGGATATTTTGTGACTGTGCTCTAAACAGCTGATTTTAAAAGTGAGGGAAAGGATCATTATTAATATTTAGTCAGATCCATCCACATAAGCAACAGAATTAGCTTCCTTGCTAAGTTGTAAGTGCTGAGAATGCAGGGACAAGGACCATGTATCCCTAGCACCTAGAATACTGCCTGGGCATTAGCAGACTCACAAGAAATATTTTCAGAAGAAATAAATGAATGAATGAATGAATGAAGTACTTTTAAAATAAAAGAGTAGGATCCAAACTTTTCTATTCATCAAAAGACATGCAGAGAGGTCCCATAAGCCACTTGGGTTATTGCTGTTCCACCAAGAGGTGGAACTTCTTTGAGCTAATTCCTTCCCTGTCACCTGGAGAAGGATGGCTTCAGAGTCTGGCCCTTCCAAGGTACTGTTGGTTCTAGCAGAAGAGGCACATATACCTCTAGTTATAACAGTTTGTTTTCATCAAGAGGTGAGAGGGGCCTCAGAATAAACAAATTCCTTCTTCACTCCTCTTCCCAATATATGAGGAGAAAGGATAAGCTGGAAATTGGCTAGCAATTTAAATATAATCCTGAGCAATGGTCAAAAATTCTGAGGATTATCAGCTTTCTAATACTACCTGGATTTTCATCCTGTGCTGAACTTAAAAAACAACTTTACATGATAATTTCATATGGAAATTTAAGGTTAATCTCACATGCTTTTTATCTTTCTTATCGATGATCACTAACAACATTTAAGTTTCTTGCAATATTCCATTCTCTTATGCCTACATAGTATTTGGTGATTTCTACCCCATCCCTTCCCAACAGTCTTTCCACTTCCAATCCTTCCCTTAGGGTCCTCTGGAATGCTCATTCCACTCAAAAGAAACTACTCTGCAACTTCATCCTAGTTAAAAATAGCCTTCTTCACAGGGCATGGTTTTCCCCAGAACCTTGCCTAGCAGGAGTACCTTATTCCTTTCCTTTATACACATTTATGGGCAACTACTGTTGCCAGTGTGCTTATTTTCCCATATAATGGGGGACCTGGAACCAATATCTTCATTCTCTTAGTTTTGTCCCCAAGGAAAATACATAACAAGCAGACTGACAGAAAACTTCTACTAACAACAGGGGCCAAAAGACAAGGGAATTATGTTTTAATAAGTAACTATGAGCTTACAACTTCCTACCCAACTAAACAATCATTTAAGTATAGGGGCAAAATAGAGCTATTTAAGAAAAATATAAGTGTTTTAACCATGCACAGACTTGCAGGAAAAAATGACATTAGACCAAGAAGGAAAGTTTAAATCTTATCACTTTTACCAATCAATCTAATATAACATAGAAAAGAAGGAGAAAAAGCAAATTAAAAAGCACAGTAAATTTAAAACACAAGACAGCATATACAAACCCAAATGTATCAGTAATGAAATACATATAAATTGAACTAATCAATTAATATACACAGAGCCTCTCTGATTAATTAAAAAGAAAATCTAGACAAAACCAAACATAAAATAAAAAGCTGAAAGTAAAGGACTGGAAAATAATGTACCAATTATATATTCTAATTATAAATTTTAATGATTGAAATAATAATTATTCTTTAATTATAACTGTGAGCTTTGTGTGTCAATATTGATATCAGATTTTAAAAGACTTTAGGAGAAATGACTCTCTGACATATATATATATAGAGGAAAGACTGAATTGTAAATTAGATTAGTGTGCTGATGCTACAGCTTACTCTCAGCCTATAAGGTTACAGACTCTTTATTTTAAAATGTACTGTAATTCCAGGGATGGCTATGATCAAATATTTAAGAAGATACATATGGCAGAACCACAATTCCTGTATCTTGGTAACTTACTAGAAGGAGAAGAAGGAAAAAAGCATAACACTCTGACGAGTGCAGGAATACCTTCTGAATTTGCTGACCCATGTGGATTAAACCATTCTAAACCACAGTATTCTGTCATATAAAACAGATTCCCCACCAAGGTTTGATAATAAAGCACCTTTGGGCACCATATAAATAGTTTTAAATGACCAAATCCTTCCACTCTAAAGAAAACTAAGCACAATGTACTGTTTATACTGTAGTTTTTTTAATACAGAAAGGGAAAATATTATTTTTTAATCTACTATAGTTTATTGTTGAGTTAAAAACAAAGCATGAGCGAGGTGATATGGCTCACACCTGTAATCATAACACTCTGGAAGGCCGAGGCAGTGGATCACCTGAGGTCAAGAGTTCAAGACCAGCCCGGCCAACACAGTGAAACCCATTTCCACTAAAAATATAAAAATTAGCTGGGTGTGGTAATGCAAGCCTGTAGTCCCAGCTACTTGGGAGGCTGAGGCAAGAGAATCACTTGAAACCAGGAAGCAGAGGCTGCAGTGAGCCAAGATCACTCCACTGCACTCCAGGCTGGTCAACAAAGTGAGACTCCATCTCAAAACACCAATAATAATACACAAAACAAACAAAAAACACGAAGTAAGTGAAAATCTGATTTTCAAAGAGAAGGTATATTAGGAGACTTTAAGTCTATGAGTTTTAGTGTTAAAGTAGTACGTCTGTACCTTTAAGAGAATTAAATTTAAAATATGATTTAAAAAAATAGTTCAATTGCACTAAATGATACTTTATAAAGTGGAGGTTCATACTTATAAAGACTTGAATGCCATTTTTAAACCTAAAAATTACAATATAAAACCTTTCATTTGCTGAAATTGCCATGATCTGAAGTGCCATTTACTTAATGCTTCACAGATGTATGATGCCAAGTTGTTAGTCAAATTGGAAAGTATATTTAGTTAGAAAAAAAAAAAATCTTCCAAAACATGTTTTCCTATATTTTACTGACATTTACATGGGATACTATTTGAAATGTGTCATTTATTTGCACTTTATAATCTATAAATGAAGCTTCCCTTTCTTTTTCCAAATAAAATATGCTGTTATTGTGACCACAAAATAGCTTTTCATTTAAAGACACCATTGTTTCTATAATTCTTTCTACCATGGTCATGTGCTACTTTGTCATATTTTTAACTGGACTTTTCATCACACTTTCTTCTTTGACCTTTACCCTGAGAGCCTTAGTCATAACTGAAAGTTTGCTGTAAGGGTGTTTTGCTACACAACTGTAGCTCACTATTATGAGTTGTTATACACTTTTAATAAGCTGATGTGCAGTGATCTGAAAGTGCTAATTTTACCACGAGGTTACTGGTGTTACCAGAGCATGTACTAATAAATTTGGCTAACACTGAATACATGCCACAGTAGGAGGTTAGACAAAAATGGAAGAGACTACTGATATGTTCCTTTGCGGTAATATGAATATGCATAAAGAAAAAGTTTTGAATCTATAATTAATATTGAGAGCCTTTAAATGTCATGACTACTATTAGAGTCTATTATGGATCAAATGCAATCAGAAATACTAGTATAAATATGACTAAAAAGTTAGAAAACAAAGCAGTAGAATGTAGGCTCCCCATAATGCAGAGGTTGTTTCTATAACAGTTACAACTACACATATTTGAAATCCACCAATTTCTAAGAAACAGATCCTGTCATACTTTAATACATCTATAACATAAATCTCTTATGTGTATAATTAAGCAAAGTCAAGTGCATACTTACAGAAACTTAATTGTCGACTTTCACAGAATTCTGCATATTGAGCTGAATCCATAATTCGAGTTTGTCTCTCTGCTCTCTAATAGATAGAAAGACATAAAAAATTTTTTTTAAAGCAAGTAAACTATTGTATATGTTTTCACAGCTTAAACTGAGAATTAAAGTACCATCTTCCTTTTCTTATTCTAGGTGAACAGGTTAGCACTACCACACAGATCATAGTACATAAAATTACGATAACTAATAGTAGGTGTGAAGCTGGTGTCTTTTGGAAATCAAGTTTAAAATATTATTTTCTGCTCCTCTGTTACTAATACTAAACCTAAAGGACCTCGCTTCTAAATTTTCTAACTTGTATCATCCTTTTAAAGAAAAAGAAAATGATGAGGGAATAATAAACCAAAAAGAAAATCGGTTACAAATATTATTGTCAATCCACTTTAAAGCCGTGATTTTCAATGTTAAACAAGAGTCAGCAAATGAAATCCATATATTCCCTTTCAGTTAGAATCTGGGGCTACAGTTGACAAATCCATATTTTAGATTGCAAGAAAATAAAGAAAAAGGTAAACACAATACAGATCCTTTAATCTGAGTCCAGGTATGATTCACAGTTTGGTATAGTTTCATTTGCGGGGTTTTTGATTCAGTATAGCAGATGTTTGCTGCTTCACTGTCCCACAAGAGGTAGGATAATTATAATTCATCCATAGTTTGGTGGGAAAGAATATGACCACTTCCACTTCCTTGGTAAGGGGAGCATTTTGAAATAAGACAGGCTGGTACTTCTTGGAATGAATTTCTGCTCAGTGAAGAAAAAAGAATTCCGGATAAATTTTTTTTCTGTTGTGGAAGAACTTTCAGCAAGTTATCTTCACCACTGTTGATGGAGCACATAAGTACCATTTCTTCTAATGTCTGTGGATATTTTTGTATTTTGAAACAGAAATTATTCTTTTTGCTTTTATTTGCGTGAGTAGTCAATTTCAACGATATGTCAGTTGATGGAATGAATAATGGTGTACTAACTGGGGCTTAATAGAGAATATTGGGGCAGCGGGAGTTAATGTGAAAATTACTAGTCACTACAGTGGTTCCTTTTAAGACCACTGACTGTTTTTCCCCTTCCTTTATTTTCCTTCTCCCTTTTTTCTTTCCCTCCCTCTCTCTCTTCCTTCATTCCTTACCTCCCACGCATCCACATACTCACATACAAACATATATGCAGGCACAAACACGGGCCTCTTCTGGTTATTTACCAACTAAGTTCAAGTATCCTTTATGGGCACATACAAACATTTCATATATACATGAGTTATATATGTAAGTGTACATATATGCATATAAAGATAAAGATATAAATTATATATGTACACATATATATACATTTATCTTTTATATATATACAAACACACATATATGTATATATGAATGTAAATATCTTCTTGCTCATGTGTCAAAAATACCATATCTTGGCCGGTGCAGTGGCTGACACCTGTAATCCCAGCACTTGGGAGGCCAAGGGGATGGATCACTTGAGGTCAGCAGTTCGAGACCAGCCTGGCCAACATGGCGAAACCTTGTCTCTTCTAAAAATACAAAAATTAGTTGGACGTGGTGGTACAGGCCTGTAATCCCAGCTACTCGGGAGGCTGAGGCAGGAGAATTGCTTGAATCCGGAAGGTGGAGGTTGCAGTGAACTGAGATTGCACCACTGCACTCCAGCCTGGGTGACACAGCAAGACTCCATCTCAACAAACAAGCAGACAAACAAAAAAGAAATACCCTGTATCCTTAAGAGATATTATTGGTTTAATTAATTTTTATTTACTTGGAATTTTTTTTGAAATATAAATGCATGATCTAGTTTTTTTCCTCTTTTTAATGTATCTGATACATAATAAATGTTTCCTGATGAAAACAGGAAGCAAGGAAGGGAGAATTTATTTATATGTTTTGAACATTATAAAAAAGTTACTAATGTGTTTATTTAAAAAACTCTCCAAGACTGATAACACTATCATTAATTTGTAACTATGTACACATGTTTGTATATGTAACTGTTTCTCTTTGTCTCACTGTAGCAGGAACCACTCAAGTTTGAATTTCTAGCTCCTAGGAAAATATCTGACACATGGCAAATAAGCAGTAAACATTTGTCAGATGAACAAATGCTACTCTTTTATTATACAAGGCAAATGACTATCACCATAATAGAACTAGATCAAGAATGATGATCTAATCATTCCTACATATCATCTCTGCTACTCTTCAGCTTAGTAGTCTCCTCCACCCAATGTATGGCTAGACAGAAAGGACTTGGATAACTATGGGGAAAGAAAGTTCCTAAAGAGATTCTTTACACTAACTTTTTCTTCCACCAAGTCAGACAACCAAGATTCGGCCTCTATATATGCTTGGATAGCTGACATACGTGCATTAAGTGTTTCTAGAAATCAGAGTTAGGAACACTTATCCTCGGAGGTTAAGGTTTCCAGAGTTGCCAGCTACAATATTTCAAAGATATCCATAAACATCTGAAAGACTAAATTATTATGGCCTACTTCATTCCTTTCAGATACCCTCTCCAATGCCTATTCTCTTTTCTTCATTAAGCATCCTATTTCTTTCTGAATTCCTCCAGCATCAAAGCAGTAAACTTTGATCTGAGAACCCCACAAAGATGACCCTAAGGCATATATAAAAAGCCATTTATCCTGTGGCTAGCACACAGCAAACACTCCATGTAAAGCAGCTGGCTCAGCAGCAAAGACTCATAGACAATACAAAATCATGGCTTAGAGATAGAGGGCAGCTTAAAGTTTATCTTGTTCAAACCTCTTCAATTCAAAGATCAGGAAACTGAGGCTCAAAGAAGTGATTTGTCAAAGGTGACTAAGTTAGCATTGAAGCTCAGGACTCCCCAAAGTCAGCCTATTTTCATTATAAAAAGGGGTCTTCAACTGATGGTACTTTTTTATTCCAATGTTTTCCTTTGGGATGCTCTAAATATCACACATTGTCTCACTAAAACACGTCATGTAACCCCTACAATTAACATGCTCGAACTATTCATAAGAAAAGAAATTAGCAAGGCCCTGGGTCAGCAAAGAATGTACAACCTGGGGGTAATCTAATGCAGAGTGTACAAACTGTAGTGTATCTGATAGTGAAGCACGTTGCAAGTGTGTAGAGATACTAATTCCATTCACTTTCTGGATGCTGAACAAGGCTGAGGCAGCAGAACCCCTAGGCTGGTATCTGGCTACAAGTTGCCTTGTCTATTTACCTTGGTGGGTGATAAAAAAAATTACCATTTTCTATGTGTGCCGTGATGTGAGAAAGACTGGAAGCACTGTACTAATACTAACACTGAATATTACATGACACCACACATGAATACTATTCACAGCACGGTCAAGGGAGGTCATGAAATCAGAGATTCTTTGAGCTATATATGCACTGACTTTGAGGACAATGAAAGTGATTTGGATATGCTTATCACCTAATTTTTGTTTATTCCTCTCCCTTCCTCCTGAATTGTTTCAAAAAAACAAAAAAAGGAACACATTTTGGCCATATGATCCAAATAATTCATCACCTGAGAATTATATTCTCTCTTGTCCTTCCACTATCATCTTAAATACTGAGAAAGGGAAAGAATATCTAACTTTCATGAACTGTATATTCTTTAAATAGAGGAGCTGTACTTCTCTTCTAGAATCTCAGTGTTGACCCAATGGTTTGCTTAGATTAGTCTTGGCCTAACTAACCAAATCAAGGGACAGACAAATGGATAGACTGAGACAAAAGAAATGCATTTAAATATGTGTGGCTGGCCTAAGACTAGAAACTGTAAGAATTAGGACCAAATTGTAATCCAATTGTATGAATCCCAGAGAGACGAGGGAGTTTTTAAGACAAAAATCCATTAAAAAAAAATCAAGACAGTGGTCAACTATTAAATAAGTGTGGCTCTTATTTTCTGTGGTGTCCCAGTTCTAGCTTTTTCTCTGCCTCTATTTAGATCACCCATTCTGATCCATATCAAAGTACACATTGGCAGTCCTTTTCTATTCCTGGTACTTTAAGAAATCTGTGGAAAAAGATTCAAGGGGACAATATCACAAGCCTAGTAAAACATCATGATCAGAATAATGCTTACTCATTATTGAGAGCAGCACAATAACCTTTACAGTATAGTTTTATTAGTTTCATTTTACAATTGAGGACACTGATTTAGAGAACTTTAAGGAAAACTTTAAAAGCATACAGTTAATAAAGAGGCAAAACTAGAAGTAAAACGTGGGTCCTAAATACCTACTCTAAGGTATACAAAGTTTTTCAGGAAAGAGTTACTACTCTACATCACATTAACTGTAATAAGATTGTACTCCCTTTAGGCTCTAGTTTCTTTTGAACTAAATATTAGAATGGACACTTTTTGTTTGTTTGCTTGTTTGAGATGGAGTTTTGCTCTGTCATCCAGGCTAGAGTGCAGTGGCAGGATCCTTCGGCTCACTGCAAACTCCACCTCCCGGGTTCAAGCAATTCTCCTGCCTCAGCCTCCTGAGTAGCTGGGATTACGGGCATGTGCCACCACACCTGGCTAATTTTTGTATTTGTAGTAGAGATGGAGTTTCACCATGTTGGTCAGGCTGGTCTCAAACTCCTGACCTCATGATCTGCCTGCCTTGGCCTCCCGAAGTGCTGGGATTACAGGCGTGAGCCACTGTGTCTGGCCCACAAACTTAATTTGAAAAGAGTTACTTTAAAGTTAAAAAATTCATTTGACTATTCCATATAGTCATGAAACTAGATTAAAAAAGGCATCATATCCTTGTAAAAGGCATTGAAAACACAAATCTCTGAAATAAAAGTCACCGAATAATCACAGATGATTTACCATGGCTTTTATTCATACTGAACATTCTCAAATTACACAATGCTCTCCTATCTCAGACGGCCACATGAATGTAAGGTCATCTTTGGATTAGTCATACTCTTGTATCTGCAAGTCCAGTTTGTCTTCTGCTTAATGTGCCAATTCTACCCACTCCCTGGTTTCTTTAGGTGTCA